CTGACGTCGGAGGGTCGGCTCGCAGCAAGGTTCCCGATTGGACGGTCGGCGGGACAAGGACTTGGGAAGGTCTTAAGAGGGGGACGGAGACAAAGGAAGGAAGCTTGGGCTTGGGCGGCCGACTTCGAAAGGGACCGGTCACGGAGGCGAGCTCGGACGGCGCTGGACGCTGGCGCAGGGAGTGCGGGCACTACGTCGAGTGGCGGACTCGACAAACGGACCGGACAGCGACCCCGGACGACGACGTCCCCATGACGCGGTGGGGACGACCACCGCTGGGACTCAGAGAAGCTGCTGTGGCAGCGGACTCTCCCCCGGCCTCGCTGATGACCGTCCCCCGATCCCGAAACCCCCCAAGGCAATGAGTGAGTGAATAAACCCTTTTGCCGAGAGCGAAGTATTGCAGTGTCATATTCATCCGGAGACAGGGTTTGTGGGAATCGGAGTAGAAGATGCCCGCATAAACTGGCGCCGCAACGTGGGGCCTGATTTTTGATCAGGCAGGCATTTCGATTCTTAACCTGTTTCCGGTTGAATTGGGGCACTGTTTCGCGCTCTTTTTGGGGGTCATCTTTGTCGCGGGAGCGCCGCACGAAGTTTCGTTGCGGGAGCGCCGCACGGAGGCCCAGACCTTATTGCCTGTCTGACTAGGAGGCGCGGATTTTGACCGCTGTTTTAAGGGATTAACCCTTTTCCCCAGCCTGTCAGTAATTCGCCTATCCCCGTTACGAGAAGCGCCATGAGTATTTGCTGTTCAGCGCCCGGTTAGATGCTGGCAGGTTGATCCTGCTGAGCAAAAGCGCTGTGTGCGTCGAAATTACCGCACCCCTCGAGGCATGTAGCGTCGGGCGTCCCCCACCTACGCCTCCGGCCGTCCGCGTCTGCTGCGAAAGATGCCAGCTCCCGGTTTGGGAGGTGTGACGTGCCTAACCGCCTTTGTTCGCGTATCGATGTAATGGTTTGTAACGCTTGTTACTGATCGGACGCGTTAAAGAGGCATCGCTTTGGGTGGAGAACGCTCCCATTGCGGATGGCGGTTGCATGTACTGGGTTTGGAAATTATTCCCGCATTGCATTTTGTCCGGGAGGAGACTAGCGTCTCGGTTTGACCGTATGCTAGCTCCCAGTTGGCCTTGCTTGAGCTGTCGGCGCGGTTTTGAGCGTCGTTAGTTGACAGCGTTTTAAGGTACGGATGCGCTCTTGTGGTTCCGACCAAGATCGCTTTGAACGAGTACCTTGTGGCCAGAGGCTGCATTTAGGGGCTAAGCCCACTAAATCGTGCCGGATACGCGATGTCCGGTGCGTGGACATCGGAATCCCGAAAACCACAGAGTTTCCGTTTTCACTTTATCAGTGGCTGTGCGTGTGTAATGCTCCGTGGAGTCCAGTCTGACGCGATGGGCATGACCCGTGCGTTTCTGGTTGTAGAGTCGTGAGGTTGATCCCGTTTGATTATGCGCACAGTTGGTTCCGGATCCTCACACCGCCATATCGATGGTTGAGCCTCGAGGCGGGAGTTACTCTTTATTTCGTTTTCTCCGTCTCCGGAGGAGCGGCGGCCAGCGCGCGCTTTGCGCTGCCGCCGGATACGGCTCTCGGCCGCGGTTGGGTTCGCGTTGGGACGCGAGGGCGTAGAGAGCGTAATTGGTCGTGCAGAGACCTGGGTTAGAGATCAATTATAAATTTAGGGGAGAAAAGACAGCTAGGTGAGGAAAGAGCTGGGCTCGTGCAGTCAAAAGCTGCACGAGGGGAGTGGCGGTCTTGCGATGATGTGACGAGTTGTTCATAGTTTTATCCTGTACAGATGCGCGGTTGGCCCGGGAAAACGTACGGTTCACGTCGGCGGGTACGTGCCCGGGAAGCCTAGAAATTATGGCAGCGGCATGGCCGTCGGCGGCCTATAACTGTTGTGCGTTGGGTCAGCCCGTCGCTGTACTAACTGCAGCCTTTGCATGAATGGGTAGCGGGTGTTGGAATGCGGCGGTAAATGCTGTAGACACTTCGACGCTGCGGAAACTGTTTATGCAGAGCAAATATAGTTTATTAGCTCGTCCATCTCCAAGACTGGCCGGTTAGATAATTTGGCATTTTGGTATCGCGCTCGTTGCGCGGAAGTTGAGAGGTGCGTGTGTGGGATACTTACATTGTTCGAATCCTGCCTGTCCTCACAGTCGCAAGAAGACTTTTCAGTCATGCGGCGTGTTGACTTGGCTGGGGGCGAGCTTTGTGCGTAACCTACTGCGTTTGTGTGTGGACACGTTGCTCGATTCGAGAACGTTGAAGAGTCGCGAGACGCGTTGACGGCGTACCTTTATTGCTCGATCCCGGCCGGCCTTGACATCAGCTGGAAGACTTTTTAGTTATGCGGTGTCGGTGTTTGGCCGGGGGAGAACTCTAACGTGCGTCGATGCGCTTATCGCGGTTGTCGAGCCCGTGCGGGGTTCGGTGCGGACCGCCGTTACGCGCTCGTCGCTCCTGTTGGGTGGCCACCTCCGAGCGGTGAAGCGGTAACGTCTGGTAGATGCCCAGACGTTACGGACATAGCTTTGTAAATAGGCTGTCCAATAGGATCTGCTGTTCGCACGAACCAGGTACTGTTCCCTTTGTACTGGTGTAAGCGGCCGGTACCACGGAACAACGGCCTCTTAGTAAGGTGATTACCCCCTCTGATGATGGCGTGCTGCGTAGCTTGGCTGTAGCGTGTTTGTAGCTCGGGTAGCGTGAACGCCGAGTGCATGAGTGCCCGTCATGGGTTGTTGGCAGCGTGTTCCTTCCGAGTCGCACCTCGCGAACGGGACTGGATTTGTGACCGTTTCTGTTTTACGGGAGGTTATTGTTAGTTCTTGAGGTTTTGTGCGTTCTTCGCGAGTGTGTTTGAGATTAATATTGTTGTCAGAGGTGTGCGGTTCTGACGCTCTGTTAGATTGCTTACTGTTTTAAAAGAATGCGGTTGAGTTTGATAGGAGCAAATGTTGTATAGTGGGCGTATGTACGATTTGAGTATACAATGAGTGCTCAGGCTTTTAGTTTAGGAATAGATTTCCTCTTATGTACCTCTTGAACGTGTAGCGTGACGTTCTTGATGATTGCCTGCCTGTTGGTATTGAAATGAAGAGTTTTGTTTTTATTTCGTGGCATGTCCAACGATCGAAAGATTTTGGTTTCGTCGCGCTGTCTGATATAGCGTGCCGGTATTCGTTTTTGCGCGATTCGCTGTCTGCTACATTAGGGACGGAAGCGAACTTTAAGAGCCGGCGTGTTGTGTGTGCCTGAGTGCCCGTCCGTGTTGTGAGCTGTGGTGCTCCGGACCAGTTCGTCGACCGTGCTCCGTCGGTCACGAGCTTCCCAGTGAATCAACGTTCACCGCTGACCTGCTTGGTTTGATGCCATCATCATCATCGAGGGTGCTCGTTGTCATCGGCGACACTACGCTGAACGAACTCCCTGCCCAGGGTCCTGGGGACCACGCAACCTCAAGCCCCCCGGGGTCCGAGCCTTGAGGGAGGGGAGGTGTGGGGACCCTCTCCCTGGCTCCTCCGCGCTCCGTGACCTTGCCGGTCCCTGCCGCCGCCTTTCTGTCGGGCGCTCCTTCGTTCCCTGTGACCTTCCCGTTTCCAGTCGCCGGCCTGTCGCGGAAAGTCCGAGCTCTCCGGGAGGAACGGGGCAAGCACCCCCTCACCCAGCGCTGACGTCGGAGGGTCGGCTCGCAGCAAGGTTCCCGATTGGACGGTCGGCGGGACAAGGACTTGGGAAGGTCTTAAGAGGGGGACGGAGACAAAGGAAGGAAGCTTGGGCTTGGGCGGCCGACTTCGAAAGGGACCGGTCACGGAGGCGAGCTCGGACGGCGCTGGACGCTGGCGCAGGGAGTGCGGGCACTACGTCGAGTGGCGGACTCGACAAACGGACCGGACAGCGACCCCGGACGACGACGTCCCCATGACGCGGTGGGGACGACCACCGCTGGGACTCAGAGAAGCTGCTGTGGCAGCGGACTCTCCCCCGGCCTCGCTGATGACCGTCCCCCGATCCCGAAACCCCCCAAGGCAATGAGTGAGTGAATAAACCCTTTTGCCGAGAGCGAAGTATTGCAGTGTCATATTCATCCGGAGACAGGGTTTGTGGGAATCGGAGTAGAAGATGCCCGCATAAACTGGCGCCGCAACGTGGGGCCTGATTTTTGATCAGGCAGGCATTTCGATTCTTAACCTGTTTCCGGTTGAATTGGGGCACTGTTTCGCGCTCTTTTTGGGGGTCATCTTTGTCGCGGGAGCGCCGCACGAAGTTTCGTTGCGGGAGCGCCGCACGGAGGCCCAGACCTTATTGCCTGTCTGACTAGGAGGCGCGGATTTTGACCGCTGTTTTAAGGGATTAACCCTTTTCCCCAGCCTGTCAGTAATTCGCCTATCCCCGTTACGAGAAGCGCCATGAGTATTTGCTGTTCAGCGCCCGGTTAGATGCTGGCAGGTTGATCCTGCTGAGCAAAAGCGCTGTGTGCGTCGAAATTACCGCACCCCTCGAGGCATGTAGCGTCGGGCGTCCCCCACCTACGCCTCCGGCCGTCCGCGTCTGCTGCGAAAGATGCCAGCTCCCGGTTTGGGAGGTGTGACGTGCCTAACCGCCTTTGTTCGCGTATCGATGTAATGGTTTGTAACGCTTGTTACTGATCGGACGCGTTAAAGAGGCATCGCTTTGGGTGGAGAACGCTCCCATTGCGGATGGCGGTTGCATGTACTGGGTTTGGAAATTATTCCCGCATTGCATTTTGTCCGGGAGGAGACTAGCGTCTCGGTTTGAATCATGCAAGAGGAGAAAATCCGCGAGCCTACGCTTTAGCGTTACTGCTGATCTATCAAAAACCTACTCTATCAAGGATTCTTTGTTTATGAAAAATTATTTTGTTTTGTTTTATATGTAGGGAATTTAAACCGAGTTATCAGTTGGGATGTTCGTTTTTTGAACACTGTAGAGAGATACAAAATAAAGTAAATTGGCTTACGCACATCATCAAACAACTCTTCGAAATCTTGAATTTTAATGTCGCTTATGGTTTCAGTTCCATTTGAGCTTGCAATCTGTAAGAGAAATAACAGAATTCATGAGACAATGGGGCATAACAGTAGGCGTTCTAAAAAAGCCTTACATTTGCTACTTCTATTTCCACCTTCAAAATTTCAACAGCAATATCAAAGGCTTCCACGACACTCAAGAACGGGCGGAGCGTCGTCATACAGAGCATCAAATAGCGTGCGTAAGAGGTCAGTTTTGTAAACTCGACATCTTTGCAATCCGAATCCATTTGTGCAATCCGTATGAATGGGTAGTTTTTGTGCTCTAGCTGTAACAAAAAAAAAAAAGTTGTTAGTTGAGTTTGAAATTCTTTGAATCTGAAACCATTGCAAATGTGAAATTAGCATACCAAAGTCGCTAATTGCGCCTCATGTTAGAGACTACAGGCTACAAGTTTTACGCATAGTATGTTCTCCTTGCGCCAGTGGCCTAAGAATTCCGTGGCGATATATATAGGGTGGGCAAAATAATAAGTATAGCTACGTTCCTTGCGCCCCATTTGCGCCTGCGAGCTAGAATACCCGTGCTTCATAATCCTGGCTATGTCATCCGCAACATCGCGGAATAAAATATTGTGTAAGACTTCCTCCGACGGCCCTCATCAATGCAGAGAAAAAGCTATATTTTGGAAAATTCTACCTTACCGGGAGAAACGGAACACTGTAGAAAATGAATCAAAGCAGTTCCGCGGTGTACACTGCAACGTTTAAAAGCTTTTCTTTTCCGCGTCGTCTATTTTATTTTTACTGAAGCTCCGTGATGCAACTTTGCCTGCAGCTTGTACCCCTCCCCCCCCCCCCCCCCCCCCCCCTACAAATAAAAAGGGAACGAGTAGAGCTTCGTCTGTTTGGATGACAGACTCGATGTCACTGATCATGATCTCTCAGAGCAGACAAACTACTTTACGTTTCTAATTTTGTTTTGTTTCTTTGGATTAATCCTTTTGGTCGAAATTTCGTCTGGCTAAATGGAGCGTTTTTGCTCCTTAACGCCGATCCTCAGAGGCGATATTTATCACTTTAGCGGATTGTTTGTGCTTTCTTAATAGCCGCCGTTATAACAATTATGGAGTAACTTTTCTCCATCTGGGAATAAATAGCGTCGTTATTGGTAGGTAACCTTTTAATTAAGGAGTAACTTTCGTGTCTTTTTTTTTTGTGGATGCATTTTTGGCAGGTCATAGTATAAACTAAAGGTTGAAGGGAGAGTGAAAAGGAAGTAAAGAGGGAGTGACTTTAATAAGACGCACAGTGTGACATGGAAAATGTGTTTTCTTTCTTTCGGAGTGAATTTGTTTTGTTAATTTGTTATCTAAAAAGGAGGCAAAGAATTTGCCGCAAAGCATGTCTGCATCATCCAGAAAGAAACGTTGTGCGACTTTTCGTAATAGTCGTCTTCGCTTAAAGTTGCACTGCGCGAAATATTGAAGCCAGACCTTATTAAAAAATTCTGCTTGTGGGGTTACAAACCAGTGAAAGATACCATCAGAGCCTTCCGAAAGTCTGTACAGGCCGACATCGCTTTTTTGGTCTGTGAAGCAAATTTCAGCCTCAGTCTATAGAAAAGACCACACCACTTACGCTCTGCAAGTATATTTATTTTGTAGCTCCAAGCTACATATATGTGTCAATTGGAGCAAATGTATATAAATAAAACCGAGAAGATACTTCAATATATAAAAATATAACATTCATTTGCCGTACTCATGACGAGTACACGGGTTGAGATGCCTGTAACAGGTGGGCAGTAAACATAATTATGTAGACTGTGCATTTCTAACAACCGTCCTCTTAAGTATGAAGAAATCCCGCTTATTAGTTAAGGTGAGTTTTGTTAGAAAAGTTGCTCTTTCCAAAGTTGCGCCGGCATTGTTTTTTTTTTTTTTTTTTTTTTAACTTTCAATGTTGGTGTCGGCGCTTTGGGGGGAGCATGTGCGGACGCATCGCGGCCGAGGTGGGAGAGTTTCCCCAACACCTCCTAGAAGAGAAGGCCGTAGCGCTCTACTCGTGACGTCGCGAGGGAAGGCCATCGGAGACGCGCGGCGAAGCGAAGGCAACGCGCGTGGATCGATCGTCGTAACGTGCTTTTAGTCACGTACGCGTGTCTTATTAGCTAAATTGAAAGCTGCGCATAGCAAGGGGTCTTCAAGATATTTTATTACACGGGCAAAATATTATACCGCTAAATAATTGGTATGAAATGGTACGAGGTAGGCGTATGAGAGAAAACATCGAGTCACGCAATTATTGCTGTAGGAATGCATATTTCATACAGAAATACTTCGACAAAATGTCGAGACACGCAGTGATTGGACACAGCAAAATAGATCACAGTTAAAAATCAGGTAGACGTAGTTGATGCGGACACGGCTCGACTGGTGTCACGGTCACGTAAGCGATGTTATCGCGTGCAGTCACCGAATTCTCGCATCATACCCCGGCCACATGGCAAAAGTAATGTAATTTCGATCGAATGAAAATATGGGGCCGACAAGTCAGTTTGCGACGCTTATTTAATCACTCAAAACAGCGAGCTGGTTAAATCCCGTAATATTTAATCAAGATATATTAACTTTTTCATGTGGCAGGGGTACTAAACTTACTATTTACAGTCAACTAATTTAATTCTCCCTATGGGCTCGAGGTGCCTAAGAACGAAATATAACCTATTCTGTATACAATATTACTATTACCTTAATACAGTAAAGATTCTAGTATAAACGCAGTAAAGGCAGCAAAATAACATTAGTATAAACAAACACATAAGCACAAGCAACGCACTTTCAATAATCACACAAACTTGTTATTTACCTTTTAGTAAAAACTAGAATATTACCACGCATAATTATAAATGTCGACACAATAGCAAACGGATAATGACGAAGAACAAAACTCCATTCTATCACAATATTAAAAAAAAATATCGACTGCAGCACTTTAGTTGCGTCTTACATGACCAAGAAAGCCAGTAAATAGGTTGTTCCTCACCTGTCGATCGTATCCATACGTCCCACACGATCCATCACGAAAAAAATTTAACACGAACTACAAGAAGTCTCTCTCTGTCAAGAGAGGTCATCGGCAAGTGTCATTGTTGACTAGTTGCCACACACGTCAGTCAAACCGTAGCAGGACTTGAACTTGAACTTGAACTTGAACTTTATTGCAGCAACATTATGCCGAGGACACCGGACAAAAAGCTAACAGAAGCTAGCTTGACTGGGTCCGGTGCCCTTGCATGTACAGGGAACACAATCATATTTAAACAATCCTAAATATTTCTTACAATATTCAAATCAAACAATTTAAAATGTTCCAATAAAAATTTTAAAATCACCGACATTAGAGAACATTTTTTTTCTTAATTTAACAAGACAAAAAAGTACGCAATGTTTTCTTAGTTATACAATGAATATCGATGCGGTTGATTACAATGTTGTTAAGCAATGTAGGTAGATTATGAGCAAGCGACTGCAGTGCATAATTTGTACGGAAATGGGGAACCTTCCAGAATTCTCTACGACGAACATCGAAGACTGATTCACGCTCAGTCAGGTTTGCTAGCTGTGACAAAAAAGCAATAAACTCCAAAGTTGAAAAAGCGTAAGAAAATAGCAAACGATAGTCATAAATAAAAGAAACTTTCATGATATTGTAGCTCAAATATAATGGTTCAGCATGTGTGTCGTACGGAACATTAGCAATGAAACGAATAATTTTTTTCTGAAGAGTTATTAGTTTGTTGACGTTACTTTTGGTCGTTGTGCCCCAAACTAAATGGCAGTAGTTGATTTGTGAGCCGAACAGAGCATGATAAATTTGAATCTTAACTTTTGTAGGCAAAAGAGAGCGACAGTGACCGATGATGCCAGCTACCTTTGCCAGTTTGTGAGTTAGAAATTCTATATGATGATCCCATTGCATAAACTCTGAAAAATTTCGCGAATCCACGTAAATGCCGTAGTATCAAGCGAACACACAGACACACACACAAAAAATCTACCCGAGACTGCGGTGACGACGAAAAAAAAAAAAGCGATGGGTAGGACAAAACCACACACACACACACACGAGAGCAGCACCAGCAGTGTGAGACGAGAGGCTTAACATTGTCGACCCATCTCTTCCTCGTGTGCGCTTTCTCCCAGCGGTGATGAATGGATCTTTTTTTGGTTCCTTTCCCTTCTGAAATGTCTCGCGTACCTTTGCATGCAGTCAGCAGCTCACACGCAACGTAAATTTACCAGAATCAGAGCCCGTAGGAGGGAAGATGTCGCATCGGAAATTCGAAGCCGGTTCATTCGAAAAGTGTGGGGAGCTGCGGGACCGCGCTTAGTCCCGCGGTTACGGGGATAATCAAAAATATAAATTTGGTAGTTTAAACCATGGTAACGGGTTGTATATTACGTTTATATTATATATATAATAAATTGTACAAGACTGCGCTTTTAAAACGTGTATTAATATTGGATAAACGCGCACGAACATTAATGCGCCGATATGCGTCGACAGCGGCATTTTCTCACGTAGTTGCGCCATGGCCTTCCTTCCTCCGCCATTGTGACGTGCCCACTCGGAGCGCCACGGCCTTCTCTTCTAGGTGGTGTTGGTTTCCCCCGCGGTCGTTAAGAAACGTCTCGGGTTTCGAGAGGCGGTGCGGGGAGAACTCGTGTTTGGAGCTGCTTGCGCTTTTAACCGAGTGTGCCTGTATATAGAGGGTTTCGCCGCTTAGTATCAAATTGTCGCTTTTCACCCGATGTAATAATTTAGCTGTTGGTGCCAGTCAGTCTTCGTAAAACGCAGGGGTTGACTATGGAAAGAATTTGAATTTGGCGGTTGGAGCGCCAGGCTGACAGCTCGCCGACCATTGGAGAACAGTGTACAACGTGGGAGTGGTGAAATTTGAAGGGATTGGTCGGTCCCTGAGGGGAAAGGAGGCCCCTACGAGTCTACAAAAGGATCCCCGAGAGGATTCTGGAGGATTGGCTTCGATTTGATTTTGGGAGACTGGGAATAAAAGTACGGGGTTTAATTTTGGGATTTTAAGTCACTGTTAAAATGTTTTGTTACATAATAAATGTGGCCACACTGGCCACTGTAAAGCCAACCAACGTCGCAATGTGTCCAGCGGGATCGAACAGCTTTTAGTGTTATTTTTATTATCAACTTCCCGGGAGCTGTCATCAGGCGAACACCGTCATCGGTCGTCGCCATCCGGACCAGGACGCGCCCATCCCCATACCACGAGGCCCCAAAGGAAGTTGACTCG